GTGGCACGGGGAAAGGGGTTTAACAAACTGTCCCAAAGGGCCTGATCCTGAGAGGAGTTGAGCTCCTATTGGTTTCAGGACCATGGCCACATAGAATCCAGAGCAACCCCGTGTCGAGTTCTGACGTTAAAAGGTCAAATTATGACATGCTTGTGGCGCAGCCACAGGGAATGGAGTACAAATAAGCCTAAGCCAAAGGTCATTGACAGGACTAGAAATACTCTCATTGACCTCAGTGAGCTTTTGATCAGGCCCAGGATGCTTAGCAGGTTTGTTGCTTACGTTAAATCAGTGACTGAGGCCTTTAAATTGAATCAGAAATATACATTCCCTCAATGCCAGCTGTAATGCCTCTGAACTCTCTGGGAAATCAGACCTACTGAAGCACACAGACACAGGCATACATATATGAGGGGAAAAGGAACATTTAAGTTATGCAAGGAGACAATAGGAAGGAAACTGTGGCACACCAGTGTTTTGATGGCATATTGCAAATACATTCAAACCTAAGCGCTGCTATCTAGTCATATTGGGGATTGAAACTCTAATGGTTGCTGTAGCTGTAACTTTCCAGACTGCACTGCACCAGGCAAGTGGTTGCTCTGTGGAGCAATTTGTCTCTGGAGAAGGATAATACATAGGGAGATAGTTACAGCAACTCTAAGCCAGGTTATAAAATTGCTTTATGGGATGCTGTGACTGAGAGCACTGGTGGTACAATGGCTTATGGTGATGTTGCTTTCCAACAGGCAGAACAGGTCACTGTGAACATCATCGTTAGAAGAGCCAAATAGCAAGACAAGATAACTGCTAGGGGAAAGAAAACCCGGATTTCAATGTGGTTGACTTCAGTAAAAGTTGGGGGGGGGGGGTTGATAAGTTATTTCTTACAAGAGACAAGAAGTGGCATTGGTACTGTCATAGAACTAATATTGTGGTCCTAGATTTTAGTTTTTGATTCCCCAGTCTCCTAAACAGATACTACTAGGAAACCATGACAGGAGAATCAGTTTCCACTTGCATTAAGGGATCTTTACAAAAGAAGGATGAACCAGAACAATATTGAAATGTTTAATGCTGCTGAACTTGATGACACTCCTGTATCTTGTGAAAAGAAGTGTTGCTACTAGCACTCCTACTTACCATTGTCAATTTGAAGTTTTTAGATTCCTGATGTGTCTCAACTTACCCAAAGGAGTTTAAACTGTAGTTATAGTTGGGAAAGGGTCTGTAAAGTCAGCATAAAGTTGGGCATTTGAATGCTCCAAAAATACTTGGTCACTTCACCAGTCAAACATTGATCAAATAGTGTCAAATAATGTCAAAAATGGTCATACACTTTAAAGCAGTAATTTATTAGAACAATAATAAAGAGTAAGACTCTATGGTCTCCTGTAGGTTTAGCCTTGGATAAATATTTGCCTAATTGTTAAAAAAAAACAAGTGACTTAACTGAGTTGTTTGAGCTCAGAATAAGGCAAAATACAATGAAATTAAGTTCTTAAAAATGAAAGAATAATTATTACCTTTTTAGCAATGGTTGGTTAGCATTTAAATACAAACATTAAGACTGAACATTTACAACTGAAAAAACGAAGTTAAAATGCAATAAAACAAAAACATTGCAATTATAAAAAAAAATAAAGTCCTCTTTAAGTGCACTTATGCTAGGTAGGCAGCAGGCTAACTCTTCAAGTACCTTGCTTTTCATTATCTCTTTCTTTAAAGCTTCAATTGCTTCATCTATATCTTTGTCATCATCATTTTAATGTGCTTTGTTAACTGATATGTACATTGGTGGCCTTGTATACAAATAAAGACACCCACCACCACCACCACCCTCAATGTTCTGTTCTAGAAGATTCTAGTGAATCAAGCGGCTCAACTTTCAGTTATTCGTCTTTTCCCCATCAGGTGACCTTAGCACATAGTAAAGTGAGTGATCGAGACATTTAAGTAAGTTTGCTAACAATCAAAAAGGTAGGCCACCGCCTACATAAGGGCGTTGTTGCTAAAATATTTGATTATGTTTGACTGTGGTGAAATAGGCAGGTAGCTGACTGGCCAATTAACTGGCTTGCCAAGCCTTAGTTGGCACCTTCTTATTCCTCTTATCAGGGCTGGATTTACACCTTAGTGCCCCCAGGCACAGCATCTTCAGTGCCCCCCTACAGCTGACCTTCGTGTTTTCCGTAGAAATGAAACTTTTAACCCACTTTTAACTTTTAGGCACCCCTAGAACGCCGGCGCCCCTAAGCACACTGGAAATCCGGCCCCGCCTCCTACATGCTCCTTTCGGGTCTGATTCTGATTTCACGTACACTTGTACCAACGCTGAAGATAATGGACTTACCCCGGAGTTACACTGATGCAAGAGAGAGTTAGCGCCTGTGTGTCGTAGAACCATGCTGGAACTGCGTGCTTAACTGTCACAAGCAACTCCTTCCTGTTAGAGCTTTCAGAGTCAGTGCAAGTGTGAACAGCACACTGCAGGATTCCACGCAGTCGACTGTGAAAGGATCTCGCCCCTGAACGCTTCAGCTAACGGGTGGTGTGGATTGGCTGTCGTGAGGGTTGAGATCTTAAGGAAAAAGAGAGAGAGAAGACGCACAACAGCATTGCAATTAGGGTGACCAGATGTCCCGATTTTTATAGGGACAGTCCCGATTTTGGGGTCTTTTTCTTATATAGGCCCTGTTACCCCCCACCCCCATTCCGATTTTTCACACTTGCTATCTGGTCACCCTAATTGCAATGCAAACTAATGGCCGTAAGCATTCTCAAGGGCTGGTCAAGCCAGTGTGTGTCCGAGGTGAATATTGTGTACACCTGCATATAGCGCACAACAAATAGAAAAGCACAGCTATACTTTCTCTGTCATGACCCCTGCACACTAGGAAGTTATTTCCTATACGGCACGATAGTGAAGCCCGTACCAATCTTTATTCAGTCCAAATTGCTACGGAAGTCAGTAGATTCAAGAACTGTTAATATAATGGGCCAAATCCTCAGCTGGTATAAACCAGCATTGCTCCATTAACTTCAGTGGATGCACAGCAGCTGAGGGGGCTAGCCTAGTGTTTATGTAAATGTGAATATTACACAGAAATTTAAAATTCCCTAGGAATTATTATGCATGAATCACAAAGGTATTGATATAAACCTTCAAAGAATAACACATCAGAGTATCCTCTTTTATTTCTCTCTCATTTAATTTAAGACTCTTTTTGAATCTATTATCTATGCTATTTTATTCCCACTAAAATGAAACTGGTGCCCAATGTGGCCCTCTCTCAGCATATCCTCAACATACCTTGAGACCAAATTGGGACATTTGCCTCATTAAAGACTTCAGGACTGGACCTCTGCTTTTAACTGCTAGGGAAAGAGCAGTGCTGAGAACAGAATGTTGTGTCCATGGAAATGTGTGATGGGACTTTTAACTTCAACAAATGTGTAAATAAAAAAAATGGAAATGGTAGCTACTCTTTTACCTACCCCTGCATATCTTAGTGGTTTATAACAGTACTGATGACCTCTAGGTAGAGCGCTTTCAGGCGTCTGCTAACCAGCCAGATTCTAGGCCCTTGGCTTCACCTCCAGCCATTAGTCATTAGCTGCCATTAAATGCCCTCCCCATCGGTCACAATTGGTTAATTAAAATCTCCAACAGACCAAATTGATCTGACACAAGGGACACTGCAAGGCACTTAAAGCAAAAATAAAATGCAATTGAAACTTCGAGAGCAGCCTGTCACGTCCTCTGCTGAACAAACTGGAAACCTGGTCACAACAGCTTTTCCTAGTATTTTTAAACCAAACAAGAACCTGGAGCACTTGCTGTGCATAATAGTTGCGATGGCAGTACTGATGAGCGTCCAGAGCATGAATCCCTAGCTTGTATTCCAGAACCTGAAGCTGAAAATGAAAAATAGGAGGAGGAGATGCTACAGGAATAGGATGTTATGTCCTAGAAAGGAGGGGGGTTAGCAAATGTAGTGAAAGCCTGAAAAATAAAAGGGATGGTGAAGTGTGTTTTGGCGTTATTGTCCTCCTCAGCAAAGCATCTTCCTTTCCTCTTTATATAGGTACAGATATCTTCTGATGTTACAGGTTGACATGTGCTACTATAAGGCATGCCGCCATTACTGTCGGGAATCTGTACAGAAGGCTAGTGCATCCCAGAACTGTGCCTTTGGGTTCCCCAGGAGCCTGAATGAAGCCTAAAATGTTGACCTATAGGTAACACCGCTAATGGAGAAAGTATAATGTGAAAAGGGAGGGTAGACTTTGCCCTAGAAGTAAGGAAGTTTGGGCTTAGTCCATACACTGAGTTTATCTTCAGTAAATTCCCACCATGCCTCATGTGTAAGGCTAAGATTTGGGCATGGGTATTTTTAGTAAAAGTCACGGACAAGATGCGGTCAGTAAACAATAAATCACGGAAGCCGGAGCCCCACTGCCCAGGGCTGACAGCCCAAGCCCTGCCATGCGGGTCTGAAGTTGCAGAGGTCACGTAAAATCACATAATCTGACCGACTCAGCCTTACTCATGTGCCTGTGTGAGACCAACTCTACGTTCCCCATTTGCTCCTTTCTGCTGCCCTCTGCAGTAGTGCTATTATAAGTGGCAATGATACTGGTTTTCCCACATCAGTGAATGTAGAACTGGCCCAGCAGCCCAGGGGGATTCATATATCTGTCCATGACGGAATTTCTACTCACAGAGGTAGCGACATGGGCATCTGACAAAATGCATTCAACTGAGCATGTTTGTTTAAAATTTTTTTGGAAAAATGAATCAATATGCGCGTGTACCATGCCTTGCAGAATGTGGCCTTGATTGGTGCCTGTCAGACCTAGCGCAATACAAATATTAAATAATGATGTAATGAAGTCGTACACTCCGAGAAGCTGAACAAGCTTCTCCCGGGTGGTGCTGTGGGGGCCTTTTTTCATCCTAGCAATCCTGTTTACCTTTTTTCTGTTTTGCCACACAGCTGGATAATCCAGATGAGCAAGCTGCGCAGATCAGACGAGAGTTAGACGGACGCCTTCAAATGGCAGATCAAATTGCCAAGGTAAGAAAACTCTAAGTAGTAACTAGCACATACATAGCTCCGTGGAGCCACCATGCACCCCTCTTCTGAGCGCTTGCTCCTCAGAGATGCTGAGCACCCGCAGCTCCCGGTGAAATGAGTGGGATCTACGGACACTCTCTGTGTTTCTTAGTGTCAGGCTCAAAATTCCTGTTGGGGGATAAGTGTGGGTTCTGGGGAGGGGCTGTTGGAAATGGCTGAGGTATTTGGGTTTCTTTCCTAGAAGCAGCTGTTTTGTTAGGAGCCGGGGTTGGTTCCTCTGTTTCTTTCCCTGCCGGTAGGTAACCTTCCCTCAATGACTCCAGACTTGCAAGTGCACACAGAACCACATTTGGCCAAATATCAGTGCTGTGCACGGGTGGGCTAGCACTCTCTGGTCTAGTCTCATACTCCAGTCTGGGACAACACCCTCCTCGCATGTTACAGTTGAATTGCCTTTGATATCTATCCAGTGCCGCAGGCCTCTGAGCCATTCCCTCAAACTAACCTCGGCAACAAAGCATCTGGAACCACACCACTCTGCCGGGGCAGACTGCCACCACACCACAGCTTGCTGAAGCAAGTCATTTCTCTGTTTGGTATCAGGGTAACTCTCACACAGTTTCAGGTGACCTAAAGAGGACAATAGCTTTGGGAGCTTTGCCACTGACTTCACTGGGGCCAGGATTTCACCTCTGATTTGGCCAAAACTCCTGAGTCTTATATCCAACCCCAAATGTGAGCGGCGTCACGTGTTTGCTCTGCAGCACCATGTTCAGTGCCTCTGTGACCTAACTGAAATGTTGCAGTCAATAGTCAGGACAGCATACCCCATTAGAAGAAGAGAGAAAAACAAAAAAACCTAGTAGAAATCTAATCAGCAAACTAAATCCACTTCAATTCAGGATGCAAATAACAAATCAGAATTCCCTGCCTTCCATCAGCAGTCTGTGTTGTGAAACAGCTGATTTTTGCCCTTTCCCTCCAAACATATGGAATAAAAAAAATCCCCCAAATGCAGACTGCCAGCATATCTCCGGCCCCGTCAGTGGGTTCCTCATTCTTGAGGATAAACACCCATGCACTCTCCTCTTTGCAAACACAGAAAAGTCAGTCTCTTTATATAGCTGGTAAAATCTGACACTCTGTCAAAGCCCTCCCATATCAGTGAGCAAATAAGACTCCATACTTTCCTGACAGAGCCAGATAATAAAATAATCCTGAATGGACTTTACAAGACAGATTTGATTAACACCCCTGCCACAAAATGAATTGCCAATTCTGACCCACTCTGGTTTATTCTAGAGAAGAAAAGTCACACTATGAGTCCCTCCATGGTAAACTGTAATTCCCTGAAGTATAAATGTGGTTATTGTACCAGAATTTTGAAGCCTTCTACAAGGAATGCAATCTTGAAGCTGCGTCTAAGTAAAGTATTTTGAGATCATTGTGAGACAGTCAGCAGTGACCCGCCCCCCCGCAACAGCTAGCAGCCGTTATGGAAGCCAGCGGCCATTAAAAAAAAGCAAACCCCTCAAGTAAACAGTAGCCTAAACTTTTCAACTGTCTTCCCTTTCAAGGCCTTAAGGTAATTAAAGCTGGTCCCAAACAGGTTTTCACTAACCAAATAGCAAAAGTACAGGGTCTGTTAACCACCAATCAAATGTTAACACAACCAGGGCCTGTGTTTGTGTATAAAAAATCTTTGGCTTTTTGTATAAGTTAAAGTTTTTGTACCAAGGTGCAAAGCTCTCCTTTCTTCTGCAAAATAAAGCAACCTTTCCTTATCCCTGTCTGACTGTTATTGGCTCTCAGCGAGGCGGACCCGATATTTCCCAATAACAATTGGGAGTAAAGTATGTATTTGTAGTCTATTATTAATTAATTAGCAGCAGCACTTGTGGGTACATCACATCCTTACAGATTGCTTTGCATTTTTCAAAGCACTGTACAAACTGTAACCAGTTAATTTTCATCACTGCATCCTTGGGAGGGTAGCTGGTATGATCCCTATTTTACAAATGGAGAAAATGAGCTGTCTGAGAGCCATATGGCAAGTTAGTGGCAGATAGATAATCAAAACTGACTCTCCTTCACCTCTTTTAAATCGGAGTGGCCTATTATTTTAAAGAAAATATTGAACCTTCTCTTGTTTCTTTAAAAGAAATTCTGCATGAAGCATTGTCACCGTCTAAGGTTTTGAGAATGTTAGCTGGTCATTTGGGTATTAATACTAGAGGTTCTACCTATTTATTTATTTAACTTTCTGTTTACTACATTTTTGAATGAGGGCAGTAGTATTCATAACTCACTGGCAGTCAGCAGAGGGTGCAACTGCATGAGTTATATTTGCAAACGTAAGTATACCATTTTCATTTCCCCCAAGGACAGTAAAACATAAACAAGCTGCTACCGGGCCTATGAGACTAGGCCATGTGAAAGCTCCTAAAACAAATATATTCCAAAACTTCCCTTTTGCAGGGCTCAACTTTCAAAATGCAACTTTGGAGCGTGGAGGGAAATTGTATTTGAAACCAGCATATCAGTCATGATAATATATTCAGTACATATTGTTACGTAATCCCTTTTCCATGATTGCTGCTAGCCACCAATTTAGCATGTCAAAATCCTACAGCATCTGCATACTAAGATACTTGCTGTTCTCACAACTCCATGGATGCTACTTTTTGCTGGCATCCAAATGACTTTCTGGATCCTTCTCTATAGTTTCTGTGCTCGAGTATCACAGCCGGTAATTCAGTTCCAGGCTAGTCTTTAATTTTATGAAAAGAAAAATCTCTAATTTACTGGTCCGTGTTGCAGAATTGTATCATGCATGGTGATTGATTGTGGGTGCACAGTCAATGCACTAAAAAGTACTTTGCAGCACCAAGGTGCCCATCACTGAGTTTCAGTTATAATGGTAGATTAACTCATCATATAAGAAATTAAAGTTAGGATATTTTCCATTAAGATGTGATGGAGGCTCTGCAGTCTAATAGGACCAAGCGGCAGGAGTGCCCCAGTGCTGTTGTCTTTGTAGAGCCACTTAATGGCCAGCTATGGGACCTTGAACAAGTTCTGTGCCCAGGATCACTCAGTAACCTGATCCACACACCAGAACACTCGAGCAGAGCTGTGTGTCTTTTCCTATGCCCAGGACAGCTCAAATGTAGCTTTTGGTGTTCATTGGAGTCCTGCTTTGGGCCCCGTTTCAGCAAAGCACTTACGCATGTGCTTGAAATCAGCTGAACTTAAGGATTTACTTAAAGTCAAGCACATGCTTCAAATGCTTTGCTGAATGGGGATGGATTGCTGCACCTGGGTTTCGGACCCTTTTTCCCACGTACTAAATGAAAGCAGGATTATGGCTGGCAGTCTGATTGCACCAAGCCAGAGACACTTTGAGGTATATTTTTCAGAGCAGTTGAGAGCATCTCTCTTGTGCCCCATGTGGTGCCCCCCGCTTTTCCCAGGTGGCTTGAGAAAACTGCAGGGAGGAGCCAGCCAGAGATTCCAGCCAGTAGGAGCAAATGCAGAAGTAGCCCAAGCAGAGACCTTGCAACACCAGTGATGTCCGAGAATTTGACAGTTTTGACTGGGTTGTCTCTGCCCTATGCCAATTGGCTGTTTGCTCTAACCCTCTCCTGCTGCGTCCCTCATAGTCTCTTTACCACAGGTTCATCCCACACCTGCCCTCCTACCCTCTTCTCCTTGCTCTGTCCCCCTTCCCTACAGTGTCCCCTCTCCCTTTTTCTTCTTTCCATTTAGCTTGTCTCCTCCTAACCAAATCCTGCTCACCCACCCCACAAAAAAAATCCTAGAACTACCATGCCGTGTGCAGCCCTCACATCGTTCACTCTGCCTGTGTGTTAGACCACTTCTCCCACCCTGTGGCTGTCTGGCCTCTTTAGACTGTAAGCTCTTTAGGGCAGGGACAGTCTATTAGTGTGTTTGTACAGGGCCATTTAGTCTGCAGAAGAGAAGAGTGAGGGGGGATTTGATAGCAGCCTTCAACTACCTGAAGGGGGGTTCCAAAGAGGATGGAGCTCGGCTGTTCTCAGTGATGGCAGATGACAGAACAAGGAGCAATGGTCTCAAGTTGCAGTGGGGAAGGTCTAGGTTGGATATTGGGAAAAACTATTTCACTAGGAGGGTGGTGAAGCACTGGAATGGGTTCCCTAGGGAGGTGGTGGAATCTCCATCCTTAGAGGTTTTTAAGGCCCAGCCTGACAAAGCCCTGGCTGGGATGATTTAGGTGGAGTTGGTCCTGCTTTGAGCAGGGGGTTGGACTAGATGACCTCCTGAGGTCTCTTCCAACCTTAATCTTCTATGATTCTAGCACAATGCGACGCCACTCTTGGTTGTCCCATAGGCGCTACCACAGTAAACACAATTAATTATAATTGTGCTTATGTATACTTACTCCCCCTGTATTTGGGTTAATAGTTTAGGGCCAAATTCTCTTTCGAGCACACAGCCCAGATGGAGGGGAGTTCTATGGAAGGGATGGAATCCTCCTGCCAGACAGCTCCCCACTCACGGGGCTATCACAGCCTGAACCTGTTGCATCCACCCCTCCACTGGTGGGAGGTCTGGGGTATGAATCATGTGTGTCTATGAGCCAGGCACAACGAAGCCCCAGGCCTGATTAAGGCCTTTGGGTGATGCCATCATAATCATAATGGAGTCTATAGCTGAGGATCTATTGGCCACAGTCCTGCCCCTCTTCCAGCCAGTCCCCTTGTGCGAGAGCAGTGGGAGCCTTCCTACATGGGGCTCACTCCTTCCTGCTCTGTCTGCCTGACCCCAGTGCTATCCATCCCTACCATCCTGCCTCAACTCACTAGCTCCCACCCAGACATCTCATCTGCGGTATCATCACCTGCTACGTTTGTCTTCTCACACCCACCTGTGTCGTGATCTCCGCCTCCCACTGCTCCCCAGACAGCTCATGAAAGGGCAGAGTCCCCACCGGTTCTCAGCACCGCACACATGCGCCGTCAGTATCAGAAGCTCAGGCCCCATCTCACGGTTTTCTTTTAGCATTTAAAGGAACAAACATGCATGTTTCTGGGCTGCTTTATTCCTCTTACCTCCCCTTTAGCCTTAGAGACTCCTCCTGTCTTTTTTCTTTGACTTGGACTTAGTGAGACTCACCTGGTCCTCCTGTCAGGGTGAGTCAACAGAATAGCCCTACATCTCCATACAATGTCCAAGAACCTGATAACCTAACACACAGATAAATCCATCTTGCCCCACTTCCAAAGTGCCTCAACTCTCCACCCTCTACATCTGTCCTGCTCACCTCACTTGCCAACCATCTATCGACCCTTCCATCACCCCATGAATATCCATCCAATTTGTTCCTCCTCTGAGCCGCCTCACACATACACCCCAGATTTTCAACCTGTCTCACAGATGTGTCCACCCACTTCAGTGGGAGTCTCGTCTGTCCAAGAACTACAGGGTTTGGGCATTGATGGAGAAGCTACTGGTGAAAAATAGTGAGATTTTGTTTCTGATAGTTACTGCATTTGAAATGTGACGTATGGAAGCAGTGCAGAAGCTGGTACTGTGGGAGAGATGAGTAGTGCAGTGACGGGACATTGTTTGAGCATCAGTGCTTTCAACAATATCTCCCACCATTTAAAAAACATTTGGGGTTTTTTTTATGGGTGGTCTCTGTCTCATGTAATGCATGGGCCATCAAACAACACAATTAGATAGTTTGTCTTATGCCAGGAATAATTTACTTGAGAGGATAGTTTCTGAAGACGGAGATTTGAGATTGAAGGCTGCATTTTAATTGCCTGGCACAAGTGTTGCTTTGAAATGTGTTTGTAATGAATAAACCCTTGAGTACTCTCTGATACACTCTGCCAGCCTGTGTTGCTGTTTGTATTTCTTCTACAGCCTTAAGAAGGTTTCCTGGCAGAAACATGGTCTTGTTTTCTTTTCCAGGGTGCATTTTATGAACCTCTTTTTATGGTGTCATTATGAACTGTCAGCCCTGGAGCGAGAAGGTATTTCTCAAGTCGTCTCCACAGTTCTGTATTTAGAGCTTTTTCTGGTAGTGAACTCTGGCCAGATAGCTTATGCCTCACACAGTTACTGGTGCCCCCTATAAAACAGTCAAATTGGAGGTGACTTAGGGGGATGGACAGATGCATCAGATGTCTTAGGACAGTCCTCAAATTAGAGGCTAGTTTCTTTGAAGGGGACGGATAGTCTTGGATTTGAATCCTTGGGTAGTAAAATAATAAAACATAGACATTGTGAGTAGGGGGACCAGACAGCAAGTGTGAAAAATCGTGACAGAGGGTGGGGGGTAATAGGCACCTGTGTAAGAAAAAGCCCCAAATATCGGGACTATCCCTATAAAATCGGGACATCTGGGCACCCTAATTGTGAGTAAAAGGCTGCTTGGCAATGGCTTTTTAATTAGTGAGCTGCTGGCCAGAGGTGCTGGAACTGTTTGTGTAGTGGGGGTGCTGAGAGCCATTGAACCAAACTGCAAACCCTGTTTATAATGACAACCACTTCAAGCCAGGGGGTGCAGCAGCACCCTCCGCACCCCTAGTTCCAGCCCCTATGCTGCTGGCACCAGAGGCGGCACCTGGGGGGCTTGCAGTGGCTGTAGTCACCCCAAAATGTGCCTTAGCCACCCCCTGGAGCAGCCGCCACTTGCCAGCCGCCCAGCTTTGAAGACAGAGGGGGGAGAGTGGTGGTGGCTGGCCAGGCGCCCAGCTCCGTCAGTGGCAGTGCCACCACCAGCAGCAGCACGGAGGTAAGCCTGCCTGAGAGCAGCCCCGGTCCATGTCCCCACCTGCTGAGATGTGCTGCCCAGGGCAGCTGGAAGGTCCGGGACTCCCCACAGCTGCCTGGACTGACCCACCTGGGCTCTGCCCCCTATGGCCTCTGCTCCCTGGGCTGTTAGGGGGGAGGGAAGAGGAGGAGGCGGGACCAGAATTTAGGAGGAGCAGGAGGTGAGGCCTCATGGCAAGTGGGGACACAGCCTCCCCAATTTTCTGTCTAACCCCCCGCAGCCCCACTCCCTCCCCCCGGGAAGAGGCTGGCGCCGCCCCTGGCTGGCACCCATTTCTGTCACTGAAGTTGTACCAAATGAATCTGGGGGTAGATTCTGGTCTGTTGTCACTAACTTAGGAAACACTTAGGGACAGATTTTCACAAGAGCTCAGAGCCGGAGTGTAAGCGTTCAGTACCTGCAGTGTTGTTGGGATACCGTTTCCAAAAGCGCCTATCTCCCATTCTCAGACGTGACTTTCGCACGCAGGAGCCATTGCAAGTCAGTGGGATGAGGGCTCTTAAGTCATTTAGGGTACGTCTACACTGACAAAACAAAAAACCCTCCACGGCAGTGAGTCTCAAAGCCTGGGTCAACTGACTCGGGGCTGAACGTAGCCGTGTAGGCATTACTACTCAGTGTGGAGCCTGCGATTTGAAACCTGGCAGACAGGTGGGTCTCAGAGCCTGAACTGGCACGTCTACACTGCTATTTCTAGCCCTGGAGTGCGAGCCAGAGTCAGTTGTTTTGTTGTTGTTGCAGTGTAGACATATCCTTAGGTGCATTTGAAAGTTTTACCGCAGGTGCCCTCACCCAGACGCTCCCATTGTGACGACGTGCTGAGCTCTCGAAAATCTAGTCACCCACTGAAGTGCCTAGATGGAAGCTGAGCTCTCTTTTGACATCAGGCCTCAAGTGCGGGTGTAGGCCTTCTGAAAATCTTGGCCTGAGAGAGAGATTGCCCTTTGAATTACCTGCCTGGCCAGTTTGTTGCAAAGAAATTGCAGGGAAGGTGCTGAGGCGACTAGAATCATTCACTGCTTCAGCCATTTCCCGCCACAATGTTTATTCCTCATTTTGTTAATGACTTAGCAGCAGGCCCTGCCCACTCCCAGCACAGTGGAGTGGAACGGGTGTGTGTCCCGGGGGTTTGGGAAGCATGCAGGGAGCTCACACGGAGTTCCCACGCCCCTTCTGAGCTACAGAGCTCTGCTCTACCAGGGCTGCATCTGCCCTGACAGGCAGGTGAGACCCAGGGCTGGTGGATCTGCACAAACCCTTCTCCTGCTATGGATGAGAATGGGGGGGCTGTGGAGGCTACTGCTGCCCCGAGACCTCTCCTGCCTGCCCCATGGCCTGGGAGGGCTTGGGCTCAGGGCAGCGACCAGGACTTAGGCCTTAGGATCCTGAGCTTTTAACTGGGATGATAAAGCTTAGTCAGTCACCTCTAAACTCCCATCCCATGGTAGCAGTGCCCTCTGGGAGGGAGCTGTGCCTAACACCAACCCCTTCCTGAGATGCAGCTTCCAACTGGGACCCCACACACTGCGTTCTCGTGGCCTAGATCCCCGTTAGCACTTCAGACCCATCATGAGACAACCAGGGGGTGTTTAAGAGAACAGCAGGGAAACCTGGAGTCAAAGCCTGGATGACGTCACAAGTGAAATTGATGGCCTCGCCCAAATCACTGGCAGATATTTGGCCACATATACAAACCCAACGCACAGCAGGGCACAGCTGGCAATGCTTGCTCGGGGGAAGGGCACTGGCCTGGCACTGCGGAGTTCCTGGCTCTATTGCAGACTCTGGGTGACCTTGGACAAATCCCTTCTCGGTGCCTCTGTCCCAGCCGTGTAAAAAGGGGACGATAATCATTTGGAACCCTTCTGCGGGGGCGTTGTGAGAATAAATCCTGTTGTGTTGGTGCTATGCAGCTAGGCAGGAAATTCCCACGGCTTTCTGGAGCGTTGCAGATCGTAATAAAGGTGACCTGACGGAGCTGCATGTGGGAGAAGACGCTTCTGGTGCCCATGCCAGCTGGGACCAGGCAGAGTAGAGCCCTGCCACCTGACAGCACTTGACTACAAGCGCTGGGTTCAGGCTGTGCATGAAAAACAACCCGAGGCTCCCTGGGTCGGGTCGTCTATGATCACCTCCTCCCGCCCATGGGGTCAGCACGACAGCTACCTGCCCCACTCCTGCTGACTGTTGCCACCTCTTTCCACTCTGCATGGGCCGCAGAGAGAGTGTGCTAACTAGTCGTGCAGCAAGGCACCGGTGGCCGGTAGGAGTAGCACATACAGACGCCGCCATGACAACCCCACACGCAGAGACAGATCACGGGCATCGGGAGTGGGAAGTGCCCAACGAGCTGAGCCCCAAAGACAAGTCTGCAGGGCTGACACGGGTTCTCATGCAAGTGTCGGGCTTGGGTCAATTCTGAAAATATCACGAGGCTCTTGGGTTAGGTGAGGGTTGGCTGTGATCAGCTCCGGGTTGGACTTTAGAATTAGGCCTGAGGAGATCTCTAAGGCGGAATACGTCATTTGAATGAGGGGAGAAAAACCCGGGTGCCATTCCTCCGCTTGTATAAATTTGGCAAAGCTCCATTTACTTCAGTGTAGCTATGGCAACACACACCAGTTGAGGATGTGGGCCAGGGCGTGTATACTGATGTATATAGGAGACAAGCTGTATGAACAGATAATGAATGTGAATCTGAGAAATGCATACAGGAAGCTACAATTTATCACATAAATGCCAGGCACTGGTTCAGCCAGTTGCTAAAGGTAATGTATCCATCCAAGGGGCTTGGGAGACAGCTGTTATGGATGGTGGTAGTTCTCCATGTACAAGGCACTTTCCAAATGCATGTGGAGACATAACCAGATCGCTCACGTGGTGTGACAATCCAACAAGCGACTCTTGAGACTCCATTAAATCTTAATACATTTTTCTTGTTGTTTTAATCCAAGGAGCGTAAATTTCCGAAATTTGTATCCAAAGAAATGGAAAACATGTTTATCGAGGAGCTGAAGTCTTCTGTCAATCTGCTGATGGCGAACTTGGAAAGCATGCCAGTGTCCAAAGGCGGCTCGGAGTTCAAGTTACAGAAGCTAAAACGCAGCCACAACACCTCAATCATTGACCTGGGAGAAGAAAATGAAAACCAGCTTTCAAAGTCCGATGTTGTGCTGTCTTTCTCCTTGGAGGTAAAAGCTACAAACTGTCTCCATTTGAACATATAATGTGCTGAATTAGTGTGATTAAGAATCACACCAATCAATGCCTAGCCAGTTTGAGCCATGAGAGTAGATATTAAAATAACAGCTTGAGGGGCAGAGGTCAGTAAAAGGATTTCCTAATCCCCAAGCGGGGCTTTCTTCCCTTTTAGGAAACAATTATAAAATGCTTTTACCAAGCTTCATAATATGCCCTTTTAGATTTCCCCCATCTTCTTAGAACAATCTGTGGAGATTATACTAATGTGAAATTCAAGGTAGTTTGTATCAAGTCGCTCAAACAGTAGTGTAATTAACTAGCATCTTCACAGTGTCGCAATGTTTGTACCAAGTGTAGAAGCCATGGGCTAAATTCATTTGCAGGGCAACTCCACTGAAATTGGGTGGAATTAATCCAGGGACTAATCTGGATGCCTCCTTTCTCTATACTACCTAAAAACACTCTGTTTCAGGGAATTGCAAAGTTTCATTCTCTTTGCTTTTTGCAATAATAGGGTTATGTGGGTTTTTTAATCAAAAATAGAACTTCTGGGATAGAAATATTCATCAGTGTAATTTCATAGAGACTTTATTACTGGTTCCTAAACTACTAAAACCTTGTGCTTTAGGTGTCTTTGCATTTGATTATTGGTAAGTAGAGATGTCACTTTATTCCTCAGAGAGACAAGGTAGCCAAGGTAATATCTTTTATTGGACCAATTTCTGTTGGTGAGAGAAACAAGCTTTTGAGCATACACAGAGTGGACCTGAAAAAGATGTAAAATGAAATAAAGAGGATTTATATTTACCATTTCCTCCATTCTTTTCTATTGTTTTTTTCTGCTAAATATCCCCTTTGCTGTGTAAGTTACACCAATTTTCACCATTACCCCAATTTAACAGCATGCAACTTACACCACTGTTTACAATGTCACTGAATTCAGCGTTTAAAATATTTAAGGTAATATTGGCTTTACGATATTCGCAATATTCAGTTCAGCCTTATTGGAAATTTGGTTGTGTATGAATCCAGGGCTAATGTCTTTGATGTAGACATCAAACGGGGCATAACTATTATGTGCACAGGTATCAAGAAACAGTGAAATGTCACAAAGCACTAGACCTACTTGTAAGAAAAATATGTGCCATTCATAAACGAGCTGTTCATGACAATGTTGTTTAGCAAGTTTATCCCTACCGAAACTGATTCAGAAGGAATTGTAAGTGGCACTTTGAAGTTCTAGAGGGTGAGCAATCCATTCATATGCACAAAACATTTGCACAGCAGAAGTTTGGCCAAGAAACATTGATTCATCAGAGAGTCTGCAGAGATCTCTGTACGTATGAGAGAATCTGCAGGCGAATGACAATGTATCAGGGAATCTATAGCATGGAATTTGAAATTTTAACTTATACGCTGCATCTCTAGTTATAAGAAGAATAGAAACATCCATGTGATTTCTTGAAGACACATTGTTAACGTGATGATTCATCAACATTAAACGAAGGAAAAAGGAAATTCCTTCTAAAAAGTTTTGATAAGACAGACTTAAGGTTGGAAATTATATATATTGTGTCGTAAACAAACACATGCATCATCCTACTGCTCTTCCTGTATAATGACACTCGTTGACGAGTCATCTACAGGGACTGAACCCATGATCTCTGGACCTAAACACATAAACTTCTCCTGCTTGAGCTAAGGGATCAGTTCCATTAGCTTACCCAAAGTAGCAGACTGAGAAGTCTCTATGTGGCCTAGCCATTGGAAAGGGACAGAGAGCCACATTCTGCTACTGTGGGTCAGGCAAAGAACTGGGATTGACAGAATTTGCAAAAATATTAGCAGAAGGTGAGTCCAAACGGCAGCGCTGATTGATAGTGATATGGATTGTTGATGTTTTGTGAGTGGCTTCTTGGTGGGATCTCAGCCCCTCACAGGGGTTATTTATTGGTCTTACTGTGTTGTGAAGTTGAAGGCATTCAGTACCCCGCAAGAGCAGACCCATATCATACAGACGCTCCCCGGGTTACACAAACCCGACTTACGCAAATCCGGACTTACGGAAAAAGTTCCGTAAATTCCGTAAGGTTTTTTGGGGGTTTTTTTGACGTAATTGTCGGGTGTACGTTCCCAATTTACGCAAAATTCGACTTACGCAAGGCGTTCTGTCACTTCCGGAACGGAACACTTGCATAAGTCGGGAGCGTCTGTATATATTTGGGCAGTCTCCCTGATGAAAGATAGGGTGACCAGACAGCAAATGTGAAAAATCGGGATAGGGGACGGGGGGTAATAGGAGCCTCCATAAGGAAAAGACCCCAAAATCAGGACTATCCCTATAAAATCGGGACATCTGGTCACCCTAATGAAAGAGCTTCAGCTGAAAGAGCTAATTTGCTGTTGTGTTGCTCAGTACTTTCCTGAGGGTATGTCTACACTACAGGATTAATCCGAATTTAGATAATTCGAATTTGGGAAACAGGTTGTATAAATTCGATTGTGCGCGGCCACACTAAGCACATTAATTCGGTTTTTAACCACATTAATTCGGTGGTGTGCGGCCACACTACCCCATTTATTTTAATCACATTAATTCGGTGGTGTGCGGCCACACTAACCCTAATTCGAATTAACAAAATCGATTTTGACGCTACTCCGTTCGTCGAGGTGGAGTGCAGAAATCGATTTAAAGCGCCCTTTAATTCGAATTAACTGGCTCTGTAGTGTGGACGGGTGAAGGGTTAATTCGGATTAACGCAGCTAAATCCGAATTAAAGTCGTAGTGTAGACCAGGCCTTACACTTCCTCTCTTCACTCCATAGGTCGTCATAATGGAAGTGCAGGGTCTAAAATCCTTAGCTCCAAACCGCATCGTTTATTGCACTATGGAAGTAGAAGGTGGAGAGAAACTGCAGACTGACCAAGCAGAAGCTTCGAAACCAACGTAAGTTTCTCTCCCACTCCTGCATGTTCTTCTCTGCTCCATTGCTGCACTGTTCTCATGAAAAGTCAATAAATGTGGAGAACGTACATTCATAAATGTATAGATATCAAGGCCAGAAGGGATCATTAGAACTTGCATAGGGAAAGCTTCCTTCATTTATTTCCAGATGAGAAACATATACAGAGCTTCACCCTGCACCAAATGAACAGCAGGTAGGCCTATTTAAGCAAAGCCCATAAGCGCATGCTCAAGTCCCGTTGAAGATAATGGGACTTAAATGTGTGCTTAAAGTTAAGTATGTGATTAAGTGCTTTGCTAAATAGGGATGGAGGTTAAGCATGTGCATAAAGTTAAATATGTGCGTAGTGTTTATTTGATCCAGGGCCGTTTTGGGTATGTATCCATCATCTCATCCTTCCTGTCGTGTCTTTGGAAGTACAGTATTCTAGGAAAGAAAAACAAGGATGATGGAAAAGGAACTCCCTTTTGAAAGGCAGCATTAATGAAGAGAGAAGGGGGACTGAAAAGCATAGACGTGGGGGGGGGGGGGGGGGGGGGAGCCTTTAAAATACTTTCAAGAAACATTGGTGGGGAAAGAAGAAAGGGAGCCTGAGCAGAAGTTGGTGATGGGTGAGAACGTGCAGGGACAGCAGCTGGGGAGGTGAGAGAGAATGAGTCACATGTCAGGGATGTTAGTCATGTCACTTGCTGCACGACTGGAGAATACTCAGGTACTGCGGTGATATGTTATAAAGACCTACATCGACTAGAGCAGCGGTTCTCAAACTATTGTACTGGTGACCCCTTTCGCATAGCTAGCCTCCGAGTGTGACCCCCCCCCGTATAAATTAAAAACACTTGTTGATATATTTAACACCATTATAAATGCTGGATGCAAAGCGGGGTTTGAGGTGGAGGCTGATAGCTCGCGACCCCCCATGTAATAACCTTGGGGCCCAACCCCCAGTTTGAGAACCCCTGGACTAGAGAGCATGAAGAAGATAAAAGAAAAGCGGGAGAGAGGGAAGAGGGTGCATTTTAGCATCCTTTCATTTCCTCTTCACTTTTTACTCCTTTTATGCCTCCATGTCCCCACTCAACCTACTCCTCTTCCCTTTCCCTGACACCCTGTCCCCTCATGTGTTGGTCTTTTCTTGTCTCTTAAGCAAGGGGGCGGGGGCCAGTTTTGGGAATGATGGAAATAAAGTGCTTTCTTGTCCAGGGCCCCAGAGAGCGATTGGAGAAACCTCTGCAGGGATTCTGGAGCTTGGCTCTGCTCTGTGCTGTGCCGAGGTCTCGAGCACCTGGTGCGGAGCTGGGCGCCGCTGCAATCTATTGGCTCGCGAAAGGAAAATTCCATTTGGTTAAAAGGGGCTAGATGTGAACCACCAAAGGGAATGCCCTCTCCCTGCTGCTGTCTTCCCACCCTCCTCTTTGCTGTTCTCCGCTCCTCTCCCCTGCAATACCTAGCACCACCCCACTCTCCCCTTCCACCCGCTGCCCCATGCTTCATTCCATCAAGGGGCTGGTGATGGGGAGGTGACAACTGTTATCATGGAAGATAACAGCCTTTTCTCACATGCCTCTGAATCTAAATCCTGACCGGCAGCACCCCCTGCTATTCTAGTCCTGAGTGGGAAGATTGGCGAGGTGTGCAAACCATCTCTGTCAGCTGGGCCCTGAGAGTCTCAAAAGCAGGCGCAGCTCAAACCAAAGCTGCTAAGGAAAATGCCAGTGGCGCAAGGTAAACATTGTGCACAGCTCTGATTGGCAACGTTTGAGAGACAAAAAGACCCAACGGCGTTTTCCCTAGGATTTTAAGAAAGGGCCAAGACAAAATTCCCTCTGGACTTTCTCCACACCGGGAAAGACCCAGAGAGATCCTACTATATCAGCCCCAAGCCGCCTCATTTTTTAAATACAACTTTTCTCCCTGTAGCCCAAGCTAGTCATTGGAGGTGAGCAAAGTGGTTTATTACATGCCTTGGTGGGTTACTTGAGGGGCAAGGCAAACTCTAGAAATTTGCCTCTGGATCTTGGTGCGTTATATATCTTTGTTCTTGGTGGGAAATGACATGCGACGCCATCGCTTTTCTCTTTCCTCTCCTTCCTTTGCACCAGAACCTGTGGTGTGTCCTTTTTCCTTCTCTCGTTACTCTTTTAGTGGCACGGGAACATTTTATGTTGCCAGTTGAATCGCAGGAGCTGCCTAGGGGCCTGCTCAAAGACCTCTCTGACTGCTCCTGGGGATATAATGAGCCCAATGGGGGCACTTGTTCATGTCCCACCACGCACAAGAGGTAGTGGAACCACTGCATGTAGGATTTATGGATAAAATGTAAAACAATAGACTCTACTGGCCTGATTTTCCAAAAGTGCTTAGCTCCCATCAGCTCTCCTTGAGAAAACTTGGATCTAAATGACTGTTTAAGAGGAATTCCAAGGACATGGGATTTCTCAGCTCTGCAAACCATTACTTAATTTGCAAAACAAGGCTTCCAGCACCTGGAACCAAAATCAAATTAGTAAGTGGCTGGGTGAGGAAGTAGTAAGCGGGGTCCCCAGCGTACATATATCATCAGCACTGAACAGCTTTCTTGGATTAATCTTGGCCTCAAATCAGCAGCTATCAAAGTTTCAGTCTCCCTGCCCAATAGGAAATCCTGAATTTGTTTACCCAGCCTAGCTGCCCAGTTACCTATCGGGCATGTTAGTACGTATTTCAGGTGTTTTATAGTACAAATATAGTACAAACAAACACATGAAACTCAAACTGAACAGCTTTATTGCACCATTTCATACAGGCCAATTTCACTCTGGTGTGGGCTGACTATAGAAACCAGTGCCATCAAGGTAGTGGAAGGTACCAGAGAGCTGCAGTTATTTAAGCAGGCTACTGTGTCATACATGCAAAGGACAACTCATGGTACCTCACTGGAGTCAGATGATGTTGGCTCCAACTTACACCAGCTGTACATACTGGCACCGGGTAGTATAAAAGCTGCTTCAGCATTTGTTTGGGATAA